TCTCAAGGCTCTATTGACAGTGTCTGTTCTTCAAACAACCTCTGCGGACCCATCCTCTGCCACGCAGGGTCTCTGCTTGACTGGCTCTGTGCATTCACCGTTTGTAGATCCAGGTCGATTTAGAAACGACCGAACTGTGCCTCACCAGCCTGTGGTGACGGTGACAGTGACTGTACTTCACACAACCTGCGTCACACAAGGGCTCTCCTTGACGCGCTCCGTGCCTCACCCGGCCTCTGCTTGACTCGGTCTCTGCCTCACACGTTCTGTGCCTCACCGTGTCGAACTAGGTCCTTGCAGAGACGGCCTGTTAGATGTCGGAGCACAGTATGAACGATTCGTACAGAGAGAGTTCGGGAGAAGCCGGGTCGTTCAGAGACGGGGTGCGGCGTAGACAGCATCATTTAGATACCGGTTGTGGCAGCTACCGATTGAGGAATTTTGAAAAAAAAATTCAAAATTTTCGAAAAATCCGAAAATGCAGGAAAACGCCCAAAAAGCGCGCAAAACTTAAAATTTTTGAAATATTCGGACTTAGAAAATTGTTGAGAATATTTCGAAAATTTTTGGTTTTGTGCGCTGTTTGGACGTTTTCCTGCATTGTTTGATTTTTCGATAATTTCAAAAAATTCGAAATTTTTTCCAAGCTTTATATACACCTTCCCAACAGAACTGATCTTTCCTGCACCCAGTCTCTGCCAGACTGCATCAGCCTCACAGTTTCAACCACATTCGCTCTGTGCTTCTCAAGGCTCTATTGACAGTGTCTGTGCAACGCGGAGTCTGCTAGACCCAAGTCTCTGCTTCACACGGGCTCTGCCGTACACGTACTGTGTCCCACCCGGTCTTTACGGACCAGGGCTTTAGAGAAGCAGATTCAGTGACCGAGCCATAAAGAGACGGTATCGTTTAGATACTGTGTACGGTAGAGACCGGGTTCATCAGAGACAGGAAATGGTAAACACCGGGACAGGTTGAAACCGGATGTTTCAGGGGACGTATAGGTAGAATTTTGAAAGAAATTTTCAAACTTTACAAAATTTTAGAAAAAATAAAAAATGTTGAAAATTGTCAAAAGGCGCACAAAACCAACAATTTTAGAAAAAAATTGAAAAAGTTTGAGGTTGAAAATTTTCAGGTTTTGTGCGCGTTTTGGACAATTTGCAGCATGTTTTTGATATTTTGTAAATTATGAAAAATTTGTATTTTTTTAAAATTCTCCCTTCTCGATCCCTTACAGAATGTGTCTCTGACGGACGAGGGCTCTGCACTATCCGGTCTGTGGTTGGACATCTCTTCAGACCTGGTTCGGAAGGGACTAGGCGAGGCAGAGACCGAGTAGGACAGAGACGGGTTCCGGTGTGGATCGGATAGGGAAACGTTTGAAAGAAATTTCAAATATTACAAAAATTTCGAAAAATAAAAAATACTGCAAACTTACAAATTTTGAAAAATTTCTACTCCAATTTTTTCCCCAAATATTACCAAAATTTTTGGTTTTGTGCGCTTCCTAGACAATTTGCATAATTTACTGATTTTCCGAAAATTTTGAAGAAGAAAAAATTGAAATTTTTCTCAAATCCATCCCATGCCAAATGTATCTCACAGACGAGTGCTGAAGTTGAAGTAGATTTTCGCTGTAGTTAAACTGTAAAACGTGACAACACTGATGATACAGACATCCCTTACCGCTGTCGCTCTGGAATTGAAGATTTCGGCTGAAGATGCTTAGAGTTGTAACACAAATTATCAAAAGCTCATGATTATTTTTATTTTGTAAATACACCAATTAATAAATTAGTTCGCGTGTATCTCATATTTTGAAAATTAAAACCTCTATTAATAACTCAAATATTTTTACTTCTTTATTTAAAATGAAAGTATTATAACTATATATACAAGTGGGAAAATTTTCCTAGGAATGATACTTTTAAAGTTGGTTATTTTTTTTACAGTTATAAATTTACACAGTGAAGAGCTATTGTCATTAATTCATACGACAGGACGAATCGAAACAAGTCTAGGGCCTACGTCATCAGGGCATAACACAAAAATATATAGGAATTACTAACAGTTTATTAAGTGACAAAGACAACGATCACCAATTTAACAGTAACTTTTTTTTTTTTAAAAAAAGGAGACTCTCGGTTTACTTACAACTTCAATTCATATCAAATGGATTTAAAATTGCATGTTCTCTACATGATATTGGCCAAATGCACAATAAGGTTCAGTGCTAAAAATGGCAGTGTCCATCTGTGATTTTCAAAGTAAGCAAAGTAGTCTTCAGTGTAACAACAAAATGGCTTCCACACATTCATTCTAAACTTAATATACACATACCTACCTAGTTCAGCCCTGAGACTATGTCATTACAATTCTTTTAGGTCACTGGATATTAACAGTCCTATCTTAAAGTAGTGCTGATGTTAATTCAATACAATTTCCTAATTCAATACACCACAACATAAAATAAACTGCCAACGACGTTCGTGCTGATAACTTGCCTTCTTCCACGTCACCACGGAGTGTCCTCACTCTAATCCACCGCCCTCTTGCGGGCATCAAGTGCGAGTCTTTATCTTACCACCCTGTGGAAAGTTCACTTACATTTACAGAGTCCCAATGCCACTATTGGTGCTCCAGCGAGTAGTGACGAGATCTCTTCCAGAAGTTCCTGAAGAATCCGCGTTTCTGCCGTGAGCCTTCGCCCGAAGCCTCCCCTAAAACAAAGGAAACACGATGTCCACTACGAAGGGCACAAAGACTCCCCTTTTTCGTCCTGTTTTTTTAAAAGTCAACTAGAGAGGATGTCACATGTCAGTCTGCTAGATACTGAGGGCCTTCCTTGGCACACGGTAAATAATACAATGAGACTGTGTTATTTGTTGAACTACACTAATCCATAGATAAATCTTTGATTTTATTTCAAGCTCACAATTTCTTAACTTCCTTCTTTTTATAAACATCCAACAGAGAGAACGAGTGTGGCGGACATGTTATTCGCGTTTAACTCTGTTCGCTGGACCCAAATGACGTCCATTTTGTGTCTGAATGACAGCCATTATTTATAAACCTAATTCTCTGATCATGGTTTTGTGAGAAACTGTCACCATTACACAGGAAGGAAAATAAATATTTTGTTACTTCGTCAATAAAATTTTCCTAATCTAAGTGAACAGTGAAAAGGCTCGAAAGTTTCTCGTGCCCCCCCCCTCAATTACGAGATAATGTGCCTGGCCGTTCCAGAATTGTTACCTGCGTTGTGAACACCCAAGGGAAAGATTAAAAGAATAGAGAGAGATAAATAAATAAATAAATAAACGTGTACGCACATGACGCAATGCGTGTAAGCAATATAAATATAAATAAATAGTGTCTGTATTCGTTAATATTCTTCAGACCTGAAGATGGAAGTGGCAGGTTCCTCCGAAACACTGGCATCTACCTACGAGTGCACGAGTCGTCACAATCCAGAACAACATCCAGCGTCTTAACAGAATTGGCGTTGTCAAAACTTAAAAAAAAGTGTATATTTTGTGTTACAATCGATAACTTAAAATCGATCAGGAGCTTGTATTGTAGATCCAAAATACCAGATTTATTTGTTATTCGTTGGCGAGCATAAAAATAAATCGAAATGACGAGAAATAGAACAGGCTAAGCGTTTAAAAGCAAGACGGACGAAAATAACAACTGAGTGTTGGAAAGCGAATTTGCACAGACCACGACCGTTGGATACCGCGAGCCATGACAGAGACGGTAATCTTTGAAACGCTTCCTGCAATGTGCGATAGAGGGACACTTATCTAATATGGCACCCACTTCCGTCGTTGACTGCTTTCCTGCTCAACAGCTTACGACTGGCAAAACACTGCGATGTTTGCAGACAGCGTTCCCGTTAAACTCACGAGTCACCGTAGAGGGCACAGGATGCAAATTACTCGATCTATTATGAAGTATTTTGACGATGGTGTTTAAGGTCCAAAAATCGAAATTACTTTATTGTTGCCAAGTCTCTAGTCGGGTGTTCGAACCCGGTACACGACTAACATTTATCAGCGTCGATGTTCGTCTTCTCAACTTTGTAATAACCTAACCTAACCTAACCTAAGCAGCTAGGACTGAATGTCGTGTTCGAGGAAGTGGCGTGGATTTTGATCATTTGATATAAAATTGCTCTAAAAACTCTTCCCTTGCAAATGAAAACTCCAAAAACAACTAATTTTTCTTGTTTTCTGATGTCGTCAAAGCTTAGAAATATTCTTGTGGACCGCGTTTTAAATCGAACACCCTGTACTTGTAATAAAGCTGTTTTTGTATACTCGATACGTTTTCACGTTTCACAAAGTTTCCTATCGCCGCTGTATTGCACACAGGAAGGGTAAACTGATAAACCTAGAGTTTCTTTCTGAGGAAGCACGCATTTACCACAATTAGTCCAAACAGCGTTTACCGACAGAATTTGTTTACAAATAAATATCTACGTTCCTTCCACGTGAAGAGTCACGAGGCATCTCGCAAAATCTGTGGACGTTGCTCCTTGTCTTGAGCGAAGCTTTTGGTTCGATCTGGGGCCAAGTATTCGTGCCAGCAGCCCCGACTATTAATCAACTGACAGAAGGGGACCTGAGCCCTCCTCCTCTGATCTCGTCTTGTGGCTATTTCTACAAGCGTGCGCGGTTAACTCTTTCATAACAGCCAGACTATACCACTGTGTGAACACTAATTTTGGTCCACTGGGATAAGATGCTGGATTCACTTCCTTTCTATATCAACAGAGATTATCTTCGGTTTCCCAAGGCCCTGAATTTTGGAACGTTAACAAGTTTATTTTTGGAGAAATGTCATTTCTGGACACTAAATTTTGGCAACGTTTAAATTTCAGTTGCTGCTTGGATTATGATGACCGCGGACCACCGTGGGGTAGATGTCTCCTGGCTGGACACGGGGTTCGATCCCCGGCAAGATGCTTGGGACAGCGGCAGTGTGGACGACGTCTGACCTCGTGGTTCCAAAGACATAGGAGACTCCACACCATGACAGTTTAATGACGACGGTCCTCGCAACCTCATCAGGTCTTTGTAACGGACCAAACTGATTAAGTACGTTTGAAAACAGATCCAATTTACGAGACAGGATAATACCGAATGTTCTGAACCATCATCAGAACCATTTAAAACCGACAGCTTCTAAACTGGTTTGGTATAACATCAAAGTTTTGCACAGTCGACATGTTTGTTACACGCATAAATACGATAAGATTTCACACGTCTAGATCCAAGGGTTCACTAGTTATCCCTGTTAAACTGTGATCTGAAGCACATTCATGCAAAGCCGCCATCTCTTCATTTTACATTCTACAACAAAAGTTTAATATATTTTGGATTATCAAATCACAGTTTGTCGACTGCTCAGTACAAAAGCGACCTAAGAGTTTCCCGAATCCGCGGTGAAATCGGTACGAGCAAGGATTTCGCCTGGATCTGTCTTACAAAGAGCACAGAACGCAGAAACCTATTTGTGGCAAGTGACAACGTGGGGATAAATGGACTGTGGGCTGCATCGAACACAGGAACATCTGAATACACCGGGCACTGTCATCACAAAACACGATTACAAACCGCCCAGTGGTCGCCACTCCTCGGACGTCCAGAGTTCAAATCTCGGCCCAGCCCCTCCACAAAGCGCCCCAAAATAGGCCACTGCCCTTTCCTTACTGATCCTTTCCACTGATCGCTCTAGTCACACAATATAATTTGAGTTATGAACAGTATCAGACGTTTCTCTGAATCTCGGGTTGTCTGACGACACTGCGTCAACTCCAGAGGTCGCCACCAATATACGTTAATTTTCAGAAGAGACAATTTTGCGAAAAAGAGTAATAATTACGTCACACGTCGCTTGGAATACCGCGGTTGTCCGGATGTCCCAATGTTACAGCGATTTCAGCCATCATGCAACAGCGGCTGCATTGTGCTGGTTAGAAATTTGTGCACTGGAAAAACGTCTTGCCTTCGGTTTGCACCAGACACCATCCGCGTTTTCAGTATAGTAACACTGTTCTGTGCAGTCAGTTTTCGTTATAAGAACAAACATGGATTATTTCCTTAAAGAACGCTAAATATCGGATATTTGAAAGGGTGAGGTGTTGTGTTTTCTTCGAGGTACGGACTGAATTCTTAAATGGGATTTCTTGGACGAGTCTCGGCTTCAGAGGGTTAATACCGAAACACTGGAGCAGAATCCTGCGATATTGATGCGAGGACGACGCCTCGTGGCTCGCGGACACTGCAGAGACGCAGTGGGAGTACGTCGATTCAGTCAGTGTGTACACAGGCAATAAGCAGGTCACTGCGGTCTCAAACTGACCGCGTCGAGGAACGTGGAATGAGACCACTTTGCGTTGCGTCCTGTTCACATGATTCACTTAAAATTGACCATCATCCAGGGTCATTAAATACAGGGCATCACCATGCGAGCTGTGCGTGGCTTTTTAAACTGTCAGCGGGGGGTGGGGGGGGGGACTCGATGTCCATATCCGGAGGACGCGCTGTGCCATGGCGACAGTAAATTCCTAGCAGACTACACGGCCATAGCAACCTACTGACATACTTGGCGTCTGTCGGACCGACGAATGACATCAGCTGCTGAGGTGCGAACTGACACCGGTTGATGGTCCATGTTACAGCGTAGCAGCTGTGAAAGTTTGCCCACGCAAATTTCATCTCACGTTGACTGAGACAAACCAAAACAAGCAACTGCAAAAAGTACAGTCTTTCTTCGTAGGCCGATTCGATGAGGTGATCTGAAAATTCCCAGTCTTGGACGAAACCAGAAATTTCATACCGGCCACTGCCCTCTGACCCCCAGCAAGATGTATCTACAGAACGGTCCACAAAATCAACTTCAAGAAAACATCCCCTTGTGGGGCGAAGACTCCTTATCCCTTTCCAGGCTGCACCAGGAACACTGGAAATGATTTCACCCGAAGCCAACAGACGACAATCTCCAACATCCCCTCCCCAAAGGCGCAGGTCACGTTCATGAAAGGAACAGCGGTTGAGAAGGCAAAGGCCTCACGTCCCCAAAGGCGCAGCGGTTGAGAAGGCAAAGGCCTCACGGGTAACTGGGGGTTAGGGTACGCGAGGTCTCCGTTCACCACCAGGAGATCTGAAGCCTCCTTCACTAAGCATGGGAAATACGTTCCAGTGTGCTGATGTGGGATCACAGCGCGGAAAACATCCAATCTTTCGGTGCCAAAACGTTATAAAAACAGCGGGGACACGAAACCACACAATGCGGTTGATACAACTGCAGGGAGGGGTCGCCGCGTTCAATTCGGAACACGACGAAAGGCTTGAATTCAGCCACCTTCAAGTTGCACTTCATTGGCGTATTCCAAGTAATTTGAAGAGCATTCCCGCTTGCACAACCAGGTGCTAATGGACACGATACGTGTTCTGTCCGTCCACACGTACCTGATAATGAGTCACGGGCAAGAAACGCCGTCACGACGGAATCTTACCCAGATCGCGACGCGGCACAGAACATCCGTGCTCAGGGCTGAAAGGATCTTGTCCTAATAGGGACTTGGGACACCTGAGTAACACGGAAGGCGGCGATCAGGAGTATGAGATTCTTAAGAGCAGCGAGAAAACAAGTACGAGACAGGGACATTCCGTCTCTGTCTCTCGGGTATTCGAATTTCTGAACGCATTTTATAAAAGTGTTTATACTGACCACACTGGGCTGTGGCCTTCCTTGGAAATCGGCCAGAAATCATATTTACTTACGAGATAAATATATTTTATATACTGAACAGACGAGTAAGATACGGGATACTCGTACTGAACCACAGAGTTTACAGAAACAGTTTTATTGACGAAACAACAAACTCTGCAAGTCTCTTTTAAAACTTCGAGAACCTAAGCTATCGATTTTCAAGCACGAATTTTCTTCGAATGCTAACAACAAAACTACAAACTACGCGAGCTCGTAAATTACAGGGGGCAAAGTTGGAGAAACGTAAATTTGTAATGCGCGTTCCACTTGAGAAGGCGCTAGACCGTTCAATTCCCTCAGGTTGAGTGCCATCGCAGCGGCTTCAACCTGAGAACGTGTCCTCGATGACCACCCTTCGCGGTTCGCTCTGCGGTACGTGCCAAAACTGACCTCGGTTCAAAAACTGGGGCGAGTAAGAACACGGGATATGGGACAAGGCCGCAAACTTCCTATAACTGCGGAAACCGCTCGCCGGAAGTTTTTGCCTTTAATACGATTTGTTTTGGTAGCAGCTCTAAGAGATGGGAGTGGGCGAACACGGGGTTACCCCCACCCCCAATGGCAGTCTTCTCATAATTTGTTTTGGTAGCAGCTCTAAGAGTTGGGAGTGAACGAACACGGGGTTCCCCCCACCCCCAATGGCAGTCTTCTCATCTGCATCAGCCAGAAGCCATCTGACGAAAAGTGTCCTAACACCTCACGCGAACACACGAATTATATCCAGGCAAGACGGCAGCTATACTCCAGTCTGGAGTACAGGTAGATTTCAAATGTAATTGAGACTGAATACAATTTCAAGGGTAAAACACAAATCCATCACACAAATCGATAACGTGTATCGATTAAACAAATTGAACACGAAGCTTCGAATTGCGTATGTACGTAAATTCATAGGCCTAAATACGAATAATTTTTGACATAACAATTTTAAGTCTGATGTCACAAAATATTCAAGATTTCTCTCAGCCCGTTAATTTCAAACTAAAAGTATTTTCGAATAAAACATACATTTTCTTATTCAAGCAGCTTCATTCTTCATCCGTGGACTCTGCATTATGTGGCGCTAGTGTCGCTCATACCACACAAGGTCGTGCCTCTGTAATGTTGGTATTATTACCGACTGCGGGAAATTAAAATGTACGACTTTTGCTTAGTTTCCAACCGAGAAACAGTTCTGGAGCAGACCCACATGATCAACCTTACGTAGACTCGTTTCAAGCACATCGCCTAATGACGAAGACTGCTTCAGATGTTCTTCGTTCGCTCCCACACTTTATCAACTCCACGTCGTACCAGAAATGTCCCGCTCACCCTGAATCTTTCCGTGGAAAAATTCGCATTTTCAAGTCCTCTGCTTCTCTCTCTCCCCCCCCCCCCCCCTCCTGGAGTGCGCGTTCAGGATGAAGAACTTCCCCGTGAAGTCCGACGACCCGCAACGCTGACGAAAAAAAGAATCTGCTGTATGTTGTGCCATATTTGTTCGTTTTATCCCGTCCCACACTTCACGACTGATTACAGAAACGCACATGATGCTTCTTATCACGTTCGCCATATTTACCGATCCATTAATTCACGAATGAATCCACTTCATCTTCAAACTACGGCTGTTAGGGTCGAAATGTTTTTAGTGACAAGATAACGCGCACACACGACGGTCAGACGCCCTTCCCCCCGGGCGCTGAATCTGCCCAGAGACACCGCAGGACGTCCGACAAAGAAATCGTCAAATTACAATTCGCAAACTGGGATTTGGCTGTTGTCACGGTAGCGATAACAAATATGGCTGTCCTCTGGTTCGTTGCACCAAGTAGTCTGTTAGAAGTTTACCGACGTTTCCGAGGTACCTGCTGCCTCCACACTCACGAAGAACACGAGATTACCAACAGTCAGCTGCTTGAACTTTGTCCTGAAGACAATTAAACTGTGTACGCGTGTCCACGTCTGTCATCAATTTAATTCTAGGCAAAATGTTTTAAGGCTCTGGGAATTTCAGTTGACAATGAAAGGTCCTTCACGAGGGGTTCTTCCCTTATTGGCCTGGCGCCAGTTCTGGAGCCCTGGAGTATGGGAGACTTGACGGCCTCATGGCCGAGTAAAACCTCTATTCGAACACCCACTAGGGCAGTAGTGGTCCCCCCTCGGCCTTGGCCTGAACAGGTACGCCTACGGGCTTTGACAAGTGGAGCGACCCACTGGCCCACAAAAACGGAGACCACGACCTCAGAATCGCGACACCTGAAAAGATCCATTTCGCTTTTCAATGGCACAGCGTCTTGTCAAGACAGAAACGTTAATCGAATGGACTCTCCTTGAATACCTACTGAAACCAGTGATACAGCAAATCAAACAACAGAATTCCTTTAAAGCCGGTCGAAAATCTTTCACCATGGAGTCAGTCACGGCGGGGATATCCTGCTCCTTAGTACCAATATCCTTACTTCCGCAGTCAATCGAGTGTCGGCCGAATCCTTCCTATTTCGACTCTGCTTTCTGTGATGACCCATCAGCGTTGCGAGTCCTGGTCACCCCTGGTGATTATACGTCATTCTTATCTCGTGAGTCCTCATTATTTAAACGTAACCAACCTCGATAAGTTTAGCTTACGACTTGTTCGGTTGGTTTGACCAAGTAGATTGCGGTTAGAGTGTCACTCATGTTCCGATAAAAGTAGAAAAGTGGAAACGAACATTGAGCCGAAGTGTATAAACACACACTGCAGGCCGCAGGCTGATTCCAGGGCCTGGATTTCGAGATAAGCCGACGTCCACCGACTCGATGACACTTGGGAACTTTGTGACACAACCCTCGGTTCAGTCAGTAGTTTCTTTATCGAACCATCAACTCGTTCACTCATAATTGGCTGGTTAACTTTGAACTCAAAAAAAAAAAAAATTAACGATCCTGCACGGGGTCATTTCGAAGAAACATGACGCCTCTATCGTCACGGTAAAACTGAGGAACCTCCCCACTCTCCTATTTTCAAGTAAGTTCTCTTCCGAGAAGTTCCCCATCGAAATCCAAAGTTGTATCGGAACTGCAAATGCTGATCTCACAAGTCACTGCATGTGTGAACTACGAACGTGGCAAATTTGGGGCGTTATGAAAATATATTCTTGCCAGTGTTACAGCAGACCTTGTCCTGGGTGTGTGAAACGCCACGACTAAGCCCCCCAATAATTCATTCCTGTTCTTACAGACCTCGAGACTGTCCGAGCACACATTTCCTGTGCCGATAACGCCACTGATTACACTTATCACGTACGATAAATTCGCAAAATAAACGACCGGTAAACAGGAAGACATTTCTTAAATGGGACCGTAGCAGTCTACCTGCTACTCTCTCTTAGCGGACAGACGCGAGCACCTCGTGTTCCGTCCTTCGTTATTTAATACCTCAGGGCCGGAATGAATGACCTTGAAATGCTGGCTTTCGTAGTAGAGTTTTATCTCGACAACAGGCGTTATCTGGCTCTGAATCGTACGTCATTAGCCCACGACAAAGGACGAGATGATCTTCATGTGTTTCCAAACGTAGGAGTCCACCTTACTGTTAAGCCGAGAAAATTCTCTCTAATTCAGAGACACTCGTATCTGATGTCAGTATGAACAAAGTCCCCACGAGCCTTGAGGCAATTTACAAACGAACACGACTGTCCGTGACCCCCCCCCCCCCCAAAGTACGCTACTGACGTCATCATCCAGAATTCGTGTGTGTGTATGAGGCCTTTTTGGTGTTTCAAGGCTAATGGAGACGATGAAGGCGGTCGAGGAAGTAACCGACTGGGGGGGAGAGCAGTGAAAAATACGTGACAGATAGCTTCAGTGCCGAACAGATTCGGGAAAAATTCTTCTGCATAAAATTTCATGAACATCCGGTAAGTGGATCCGCCACTGGTGCCGTCCTTGCCCAAGACCTACTACCCATTATCATGGTCATAATTATCACCGTCTAAGTTCAGTACAAAATTTCCTCGTTAAAATTTTGTTCGCGCGTCTGGTTTCCTCCAAAGCCAATTTATTCCAGTCTCCTCAAAGTCAGATCTCGATCCTAATTTTCAAAATGGAAACTCGGTGATATTCCATTCAAATGCCACCGTGAAACACATTTTAATTTAACGCGTCAACTTAAAACCAAAACCAAATCGGGTTAAATAATTTAATCGTAATTTCTTGCAAAAATATATCTCAAAGGTTTCCTTCTGAAAATACGAAAGCCATCGAATTCAGTTTACACATCCCTGTGTTAAAACAAGGGCAGACAAAGTTTTATGTATGATTTTGGACACCACTAGACCAGCCGCTGGATTCATCAACAGACCGATATGCCAGTGTTACAGCTCAGACGTTTGCAATCCAGGCTGTGATTGGTGAGGTCCAGTTTGCGGCAGGAGAGGTAACTCCTAAGTTAGTTGAAGGATTCTGACTTACCGGAGGCTCCTCGGGTGGGGGAGAGCGTATCCTTCCTGGGCTCCTTGGGGCTGCTTCCTGCAACACAACGACACAACAAAAGTTTCATCATATTAATTTTTGTCATCGCATCGCACGAGTACGTTTCGACCGTGCGACTACTAAATCGATTGTGATGAAAATCGATGTAAAGGAATTCACGCCAATTCATCGTGACCATCCTTTGACGTAATTACCAAACTCTTTGGTTTTAAGAGACGCAAATTCTATACTCGTCGATTTAAATACTGAGGCTTGAGAGTTTTCAGGTTCTGACGGTGGGTAATAAAAAGTGCGCTGACCGTTTCCTAGCTGATTCCTGCCCCTATCATAATGACGACTCATCTGTTTGTTTAACTTAAAGACTGAAGTGTGTGTAATTTTGACGATGGGACCGAAACAGCAAACTCAAATATGACAAGGATTTTTATCCTCAATGGTCTCTTAATTCTATCGTCTTATTGCAGATGCTGTCCTAGAATTATTAACAAATGATCTGCCATGAGTAAATATTAGTATAACCAACCAGATGGCTTATCGAACTCGAAGGTTCATCACCGAATTAACCAAAGCCCTCCACCGGACCCTGTCGTGGGCCAACAAAATCCAGTCTCCTTCAACTCCTATCTCCCATAGATCCCGCCTGAGATTATCCTCCCATCTACGTCTAGGTCTCCCCAGCGGTCTCTTCCCCTCAGGCTTCCCGACCAATACACAAACACTAACTCTTATTTGTCGTGGTTATGAAACGTCTATCACATTACGCGGAGACTTAGCTCGTGAATGTCTGACGGCTGGTACTGAGGAAAAACATTTCGACCTCCGACGGGGTAAGCAGACCATCACATCATGGGGCTTCGTACTTTCTGCCAAATATCACCGGGGCAAACCAAGTCAATGAGGATGAGACTGGCGACGCACGCATAGAAGTGATAAATACATACAAAATTTTCGTCTGAAACTTCGATGGATGAGACCACTCTGAAGACGTAGGCGTACAAGGGAAGACGAGAGCCATGACTTGGGACTGGTTCAGGACAGTGGCCGGGGAAGGCTCTCAAAGAATACGCGAGGTCCGTAACAGATGTCGACTTCCTTGTCTAACGAGCGACTACTAGCTTCTCGAACAGGACTCTGCTCCACGGAATGTGTTACGCAGCTGTTCGTGTCAGCCTCCAGATGAGAGGTCTGCCATCATCGCACTCTCAGCCTATATTTTTAGGCACCGGTTGGATTCCAGAGCGAGAAAGTACAATTTTACACATAGCTATCCTTCGTGGGCAAAGCAGCAACGAAGCTTGGAAAAAAAGAACAACTTAACTTGATCAGCAGAGTGGCTGAGAAGAAACCCGAGTCCCCACGCCGGACCTCGCTCTGTCACCCGACTCGTGCCATCAGACCGGACTGACTTGTCCGCTGACAACAGTCCCGTTAGCGCAAGCAGGTCCACATTTGTACGGTTCAGAAAGCGACGTTCTAGAATTCCAGCGAAGAGTTCTGTACTCAGGAACGACGTCTTGAGCTTCGCCCCTCACCCCGTCCTCAACATCAATTGCCAGTTTACCGAGGACGTCGGTTCGCGTATCGAAGTACATATTTTTATATAATGAATCGATGCATTTAAATGCTTTGTAAAAACGGGACTTTTATTATACGGAGAACAAAATCTGTAAACTAATAACGCTGGATCATCAAAATAATAAATTCCTCGTCCACTTGTACGTAATTATTATAAATACACAACAGTACAACGTGTAGCAACTTCGTAACCACCCGTAACCACGAGCTATATTTACAAGCAAGACTAAATCAGACCGGCTTTCGATCTCCAAAGCCGACCCTCAGGCCGGAAAGTGACCAACTATTAAGTTCTCTGTCACAAACGTGGTATTGAGACGATGACACAACCGGGCATTAGCATCGCAGTTTGCGATTCTATTTAGAAGTTCTCAAGGTTGGCGTCACTGAACTTGTAGCGACACGGTTAACAACCACCGTCGTCACTCGCCGACTCCAGCTCGGAGACGGCACTGCGTATATTTGTCTCTGGTAATAAATATTCGAGTCATCTTCAGATGCTGTACGTTTGTAAGCCCCTAACCGCGTCCCAGAGGATCCGCTCGCCTGCTCGGGATACAGCCCCGTGTCTCTGTTGACGAACACAGCAAACTCCTCCGAAACGTCGGTCAGTATCTACCAAACTTCGTCACAGAAGACAGCCATCTTTGCAGTCGACTTAATGAGAATATCAAATCTATCCGATACTTAAATTCGGACGTATTGCCGATAATTTAACTTGTATCTTTACCGACCGAATTAAAAGCGGTGAGACTGAAACGTCTTCCTGGAGAAACTCGCTTTAAATATTGGCGATATGTTTCGACATCACAGTGTCATCTTCAAGTCAAGCTCCTTTTATAAAATCAACAGTGTGCTAACTTTTTTATATATTAAAAAATTACATTGTATGGGACTATTTACATAAGCGTACATACTTATAATATTACTCACATTTAATATTTATTACTAAAGAATTGTATATTTCATTATATTAATGTACCCCATTCGTCTGATTCATTACGTAAACGGGCCCATTCGCTACAATCAAACTACGACTTTGTTTAAAATTTTCATACGTAAAACCTTCAAAATTGTTGAAAATTCTGCATTTTCGTAAGCGGTTTGTGTTTTTACCGCCCTCAATCGATGAGCGGGCTCGCTCGATGACCACGGGGGAGCAATTTCAACGTCACACCTGGCTTCAACTCGTCTGAATTGGGCCACAGAACACTCAGGCCGCGTAATAAGAAAAGATACGGTATTTGAGGTCCTGCCCGATGTTTTAAAATGCCGAGATTCGTCCGTTCTTGGAATTAATCATTCTTCGAGGGTTATTCCGCTGTTCAAATTTACGTAATAAATGGTACTTCATGCACAATTAATGCCGCTGATGGACACACTTTCAGCATTACCTGGAAAAAAAAATTACAGCAGAACAATCAATTTCACGGAGAGAAACGTATCCCTCCGCACGATGGTTGACGCATCGGTAAGAACAGGACACAGAAAGCGGAACCATCGTAACTCTTTGAGGTGGGCAAACACGTGGATGTTACGAAGACAAGCAGCCGATTCTACACCTCAAAACGGGGTACAGAGATTAACAACAGCGTTCATCTCGTCAACACAAAACGCCAGTTCGAATCTCGGCCCCCGGGATTAACTTTTCTTCACGTGAAATTGAAAGGATCTGTGTGTGATCGTGGCCGGTTTAAAGGTACCATAAAATAATTAGCCTTCAGAGACCTAGTAAATCGGAGGGAACTGAGGAAAACCTCGAAGCTTCATCTGGCTTCACTTTGGGGCACGTGAAATCGACTTTAATTTTGTTCAGACACGCGAATAAAAATTCGGACACCGAGGAGCCCATCCGAGCAGGCTACTAAGGGCTTTTCATTCCCTCCAGAGACGACACCACCTCTTCCTTCCCAATTCCTTCAAACTCTGACAAAACAGAAACCGCCACTGCACACGTTCTGAATGAGCTGCATTCATATTTCATCCTCCTAATCATAATTCTGCATAAGATCCATCTTAATGTTATCTTTACACATCCTCGTCATTCTGTGTGGGAAATTCTACAAATGTTTCCCCATCAAAATTATGTGTGCAATATCCGTATCTTCCAACCGAAGTGTTACGAACCCCCTGCAAACTTCACCGTGCTGATAATCAGCATCGCAGACGACGTTCGAAACTGCTGGCAGCGTCGTCGTTTTCCACGCCCGATTTTCAGCGCCCTTTCCACCGTCCTCCTCGAGATGAATGCCAGAAAAATATTTCAGAACTCGTCCTCATCTTAATTTCACCACGAATCGTATTGCGTTATTCCCAGACCAATTTACAAACGTCCTGAAACTTTTTCTCGCACACAGACACACATTCCCTATGAATAAAGGGTTTGTGTGACGTCCACGTAATTCTCTCGCTTACATTCCGACCAATTTCACATCCTCCTCCACAAAAAAAAATGCCAAATTAATTTTCACGAGCACGAACAAGCACCTAATTTAAGACATTCCGCTTGATTTCCCTGATGGCATTTTCTTGAGCCAAATTAAAAAGCAGTGGCGATAAAGCATCCCCTTACTGGAAACCGAATACTACATAATCAGCGTTTTATATAATTTGGTGTTAACCTCTGCAGTCGATAACGCGTTGTTAATCTACGAAATATCCAACACCGATGACTCTCCTTTGAGCTCCAGCACGAGCGGGGGTGTACACGACTCGACAAAATTGGCTCATCTCACGAGATCAAAGAACGCGGCTGGTGTGCGGGTTGCAGCGACTGCAGGGGCTGGCTTTTGTTCGTCACATCACAGAGAGAGAGAGAGAGAGGGACTCTCTCACGCTCCCTCAGGATCGATCACCTCTTCCTCTTTTCCTCCCTCGCCTGAGGGGAACTGAGTACACGTGGCAGCCACATTGGACGCAACATTCATCAGCTGACAGGCGAAAGTGACGGAATGAGATGGCACGCAGAACAGAGCTCATTTGTTTTGTCTCTGAGGACCTAAGCCGAACCTACCCCGGTCCTAGGTCACGTGATATTCAAAGTAGGATTTGGGCTTCTCGGCGTTGGGCTCTAAGATCGCTGTCTTCTGGGTTGTTTGTTGCGCCGTGTAGTCTGGACGTTTCAGAGATCCTTGCTGCCTGCAACCCAGAAGACAGCCATCTTCGTGACTAAATATGTCCCTTACTCTCCCAGTGTTGCAACTGCAACGCAGCCTGAAACGTCGTCCTGCTCCTGCAGCGTCTCCATGTCTCGACAGTTGCACTCCCATCTAGTGCCGGGGTTAGGAATGAGTAGGAGCTATCCCCCCCTCTCCCCTCAAGCGCCCACAAAGCGAAAATTTCCAACCTGTGTACACTTCGTTCTTAGATCGCCCTTGTGAGCTACGAACTCATTACTTCAACGTTCTGGGTTTTGCAAATTAAAACTAGGAGACCCAAGGCAAGACAGCTCTGAGTCGAGA